CAAGGGAAAGCGGGCGCCTAGCCCAAGTATGAGTCGAACCCAGCCAGCGGCCCATCGACGCAAGGGAGGAAGTCCAACGAGAGCACGCAGGGCCTCGGGCGAGAGCGGGTCGGGGATCACGCTGGCACTCGGGGCCGGGATGACGTTGTCCCTGGTAGGGTGGTCGGCAGGCATGAAGCGCGTGGGGCAAAAGGCCAAACTGTGGATGATGCCGTACGCTATGCTGACAGCAGCTATGCGCCTCAGGACAGGGGAGAGGCCTCGGGAAGGGGAGCGGCCCTTCATGATGGCGCTCTTTGCGACGTTGCTGTCGCAGAGGCTAACGAACCTCAGAGGGCCAGCCTTTCGAGCAAGGTCACAGATAAGACGGTAGACACAAGAGGCTTCAAGGATGTTTATGTGCACGGGGCGAGGCCAAGACCAGGCTCTCTCGACCTTCCAGGGCAGAGACAAAGCGAGGTCATTCACAAAAGGTGACTCAAGGCCCTCGGAAGAGAGCGAGGCTGAGGAGAGGGCGGCAGAGCGCCGTGCGAGACCTAGGTCAAGCAGAGCGGCAGCAACCCGCACGGCCTTCTCACGGGGCCCATCTCCGGCATGCTCAGCCAGGGTTTCGAGCCGCCACTGCGGGGAGGCTTCGCTAAGGGAAGGCAGGCAAGCGCGGAGGAGGACGATCGGCCCTGAACCGTTGCCGCAAGGAACCTCCTCCTGGCATGCGACGCCGGCCGAGAGGAGGGAACGCCAGGCCGGCAGCAGCGGAGCGAAGGAAGCAGCAGGATGCAGGAGCACCGCAGGGACGCCGAGGCGCGAGCACAGCCGCAAAAGTCCAAGCACACGCCGGGTGTAGGTGTTGGCGTTGGCAACCTTAGGGGGGAAACCAGGAAACCCTAAGGGGACACCGGAGGACCTAAACCGGGGCCTAGAGGCGGGGCTGAAGGTGGCGAGCGGCAAAGAAGCACCAAGGGCATCAACCCGGCCGCATTCGAGAAGAAAGGAAATCCACTCGAAGACCCGACGGGAGCAGAGGTCATATTCGACAGAGATCGCAGGATCCAGGCAGGGCCCTACCGTCCAACCCAGAGCGATGAGCCATGGGGAGATAGGGCAGGAGGCCCCCCACAGCTCAAGGAAGTGGAAGCGGCAGGCGGGAGGCCTCTTCAGAGAGGACGTAGTATTAAGCCGAAGCGAAGGCTCCTCTCGGTCAGGCCAGACTCGTTTGAGGGTGGCCTCCTCCTTCGAGAGTAGGCGGGCAGTCCCGGCAGACTTCGGGCCGGCCCTCCACAGCGCAGCGGTGATGTCAGGAGAGAGCGGGGCACTGGTAATGGCCCCCTTTCCATCAGAGCTGTCGGTGGCATAAAGCTCGTGGGCCCAGGGGGCCGAGATGTCACTTACCAGCACGTGGCAGAGGGCCGAGGCAAGAACAACCTCGTCAGCGACCCGCCGCGGGAGAGGGATCACGCGCGGCTGTTCAGACGAAACCTCAGAAGCATCGACAAGGT